GGTCTTGCCCTGTGCTCAGGCTATCTCCGCCCCCACAAGCCCCCCACGTTCATTGTCCCGCGGGGCACACCACGGATACTCAGGGCAGACTTGCCGAACGAATGAATGATGCTGTGCTGTGCAGCAGGACCACCATACCCCAGAGGGCCCCAGCCCTGGGGGCCCAGGGAGGAAGAGGTCTAAGCTACTGCATTACAAGTATCAGCACGCGGTTCTGGGCCGGCTTTGGACTGGTTTGGAGTCAGCCCTGGTGTTGGAGAACACAGTGCTGCAGGGGGAGGAGCAGAGCAGATGCCCTGAGAAAGGTCACACTCCTGCGTCGAGCACAGCGGGCAGCGTGTCCAGGCTGCCGCTCGGCAAGGCCAGAGCACGTGGCAGGTGAGAAGCGGGGACGTGTGTGCAGCGGCCGGTGGGGGGCCCTGTGGGCCAGGCCAGAGCTGGCCTTCCATCCAGGGCAGTGGGGCAACGAGGGGTATGAGCCAGGGAACGGTGTGGGCGGCCTTCCATCTGTCACACGCGGTAACACCACAGGCGTCTTAGTGACCATGAACGAGGACTCACACCTTCTCCCCACTCCCAGATTTTAACTTCACTTATTAAAAGAGAAATTCTAAAAGGCCAGGATGTCATAACAGGAACAGAGGCAATAAAAAGCACCCCCACACACACTCCTGATACTCCCATCCCTAAAGGAAAACACATGTGCAAGTTGGGGCCTTCAGATAATTAAGCCAGACTGGAAATTATGCAAACGAAACATATTCAAGTATGCAATGAATTTTAAATGACAGAACTACAGAAAACTTAATTGCCGTATTAGCATGCTATAAAAACACTAATCATAAATGTAAAACAATAATACCTGCATATACTTATATCAAAATTGTCCCCATGACACACGCATCCAGGGGCTCCCTCCTGCGGGTTCATGTGCGATCCTACCTTGACACGCCATGAGAAAAAAGGGTGATGCCAACACCTCACTGATCACTCTTAACCATTCTGCTCACCAGCACAAATGTTACGTGCTTAATTATTGTTCAATGTTTCTGAAGTAGTTATTAAAAAATGAGCCAAAAATATAATTTTCTACAGTGCTCATTTTTAAAAAGTTACTGCCGTGCTTACAGGGAATTTAAATGTTAAATCGCATTAATGGTGGTTTAACGATATGTTCTGGACTAGAGTATATGTTAGTCCTCTGTAAATGACAGGAGCCAAGTTTCCCATCTTTCTTCATTAAAGGAGCATTTCCTACTCATCCATTAAGAATAGTGCTCTTCAAAAGACCACCGGGATCACATTAATGACAAATCGTGAACAGATTGGGGGGAAAAGCCATTAGTTTGCCAGGTCTTGAAGTAGATTCATAGTCAAGTGCAGCTTCAGTTGTCTTTTTCAACCGGACAAATGACAGATTCTCCTCGGTCCTGGGTTCAGGGTCCGGAAGCGAAGAGCTGGGCCCAGCCACCCCACCCCACCCGCTCGGCTGAGCCTCTGGGACAGCACGCTGTCGGTCAAGCCCAGGCACCCGGGCCCAGCTCTACTGCCTTCAGTGGGTCCTCTCTCCCAGCTGGTCCGTGCGTGCCCTGCCCTGTCCCACGTGGAACCCACACATCCTAGAGCAGCTGCCTCCACCCTGGGCACACGTGAGAATCCCTGGGGACCCCAGAGATTGGCAGTTCCCCAGCTCCCCGGTACCACTAACGTGCACCCAAGAGGTCAAGAGGGCAGCCCAAAGCCCAGAGCCACCGTATCATTGCTGCCCCCACCCCTGCCCAGCCTGGGGCAGGCTGCAATTGATACAAACCCTGATGCCTCAGTTTACCGCAAGGCTCCAACTGGCTTTGTGGGCCCAGACACCAAGATCTACAAAAGCTTCCCAGGAGAGTGGAACATGAAGCCTCGGATTCAGAGTGACTGAGAGGTGGCCTAAACTTGGGGGACCCTTCTCCTGCCCATGACCCTGAATTGCCTGCCGGGTTTTCTCCCCACCATTTTCCAAGACTCTTTTGTGACCTAGCACTTGCAAAGGGCAGACGCGTGGGAAACACCGCATCAGAAATGAGTGATTGGCATCCTTCACGGTGCTCCCCAAATCTTCCATTACAGTAAGGAGGAGAGAAGGAGAGACTCCTAAGGTAGTTCCTGGGTCAGCATTTAGGGGATAGGAAATGATGGTCCCCACCATTCTGACCTCCTTCCCCCAGTCCATGCCCACGTTTGACTAGCACCCCCCAACCTGGTGGGTTCCCTGCCCCTGGATGCCCAGAGCTCATCCTTCCCCCCCGGGCATACAGGATGTGCATGGGCCTGTCTCCCGGGGCTGTCTGGGGACACTTGAAGGCTGGGATGACATCACTGCTCGCCAGCACGGGCCCAGAACATGGCAAAGGCATGATGAGCACATGTGCCCTGAATGATGAGTGAGCACGGCGCCAAAGAACCACCCAGTTTCCTCCTCCAGCAGCCTGAGTCCCACCCACCTGCCCCTGCAGCCTCCAGGCCCTCGTCCCCTGCCCAGTTTTCCGTGTCTTGGCTGCCCGCCTCCTCCTCCTGACAGGCCCCTAGAGCAGCACAGCACATTCTTCCTGCTGGTGCCAGACCCTGGTCGCCATTCCGGCCTATCTGTTCTTGCAACCCTGCCTTCAGAGATCACCACTTCTGCAGGAATCCCATGCATGTGCACAGCGTGGCACACAGCAAGCACTCAATAGATGCTGTGAAACAAGCAAAAAGGTACAGGTAGAGACACAGGGTGAGCAGTGCCCTGGGGCCCAGACTTCTGAGAGAGTGGGCTCCTTCCCATGGTGAGACCCCAGTCTGTCCTGAGGCAGAGAGAGGAAGGCAGGGACCCCCTCTCTTTCTGCAGGCCGCATGAGGGACAGCGACTTGGTTCTTCTCCCTTCTTATCTCCCAGTGCCAAACACAGAGCCAGAGACACAGAAAGTGCTGCAGAAATACTGATCAAATAAATGAAGGCACCAACCAAAAGACCGTTCAAGAGGCTCCCGGCTTTCCCACTCCAGAAACAGCCTCCTCACCCCTCACGGAAGTCCTTCACATCGTGGCCTGCTCCTGGTCCCCAGCCACCCCCTCCCTAATCCAAGCAGTCTGCCTGCCATTCCTAGGGAGCCAGCTCACCTTGGCTCCTGCTCGTCCAAACCAAGCTGCATCCCATAGGCCGTACGCCCTCCCCGTCTCCCCGACCCAAGGACACTGACACATCCTTCAAGATGCTCCAGAAACACCCCACCTTCACCAAGAAGCCTGGCCTGCCATCCACAGGAGTCTGCACTGCCCTGGAACCGCCCCTCCCTTTCTTGGTGCCCCCACCCTCCGCCACTTTGGAAAGACAGGCTTTGCTCACTGACCCCAACACTTTTTTTTAACTCACCCGTCAACCCAAGCCTGAAGAGGTCCAGAACTGCCAAGTTCATCTCTGTCCTTCCCAGTGCCCAGCCTCCCACCTTGCAGCACCTGCAGACCCTGGGAAAGGGAATGCCAGCCTGGCACACGTGGCCCTGCTCTGTGGCTGCCCGTCCTTCCTGCCTGCGTCCCCCACATCCCACTGTGTGTGATCCCAGAATGTGCTGCAGCCCTGACCTGACCCAGCCCCTCCTAACAGGGGGGACTAGGATCTGCTTCATCTCTGTCTCCGGGCAAGTGGTCCCTGCAGTCAGTTAACGGGTTACACAAATACATGTATCTGAGATGCCCGGATATTCTTTCCCTTGTACTCCCAACATTCCCGGTTACAGACTCTACCCACCTACACCCTCCCTCCCATTCAAACCAACAAAGTGGAGCATCTATCTCCTCCCCCTTCTGCTCCATGCCCACTGAATCCCAGGTCGCACGCCTGCCCAGCCAGCCACTGGGCATCACACACAGGGTAGCTCAGCTACAATGCACACAAACCGAGAACCAAAGGAAAGGAATGGGACAAAATCATTCATGAAGGCTTTCTACCCAGAAGCAGCACGACCTTAATAAATATAAAATCGCACTATAAAGTCTTAAACATATTATCCTCAAAACTTCCTACAGTTCAATCTAAAAAGCTTGTAACCTATTGTATAGGACATTTGGAAAAGTAGACACAAATGCTTAAAATAACAGACACAAAACAGAAACATAAGCAATTGTAGCAGGTCTAATTTTAATTGCAAGAGAATATTTAATCGATAAATATTCACTGCTGAGAGCGGCATCTGCATTTAGGATTACGAGGTACTAAGCTGCAAATTTATTAAGACTCATTAGCAAGAAGAGTCTTTTAAATACTGAATGTCAGACCCAATTTAGAGTAAACACTTAGAGTTCCCTACTGATTTAGCTCCAAAGATAATTTAAAAAGGGAAAGAGAAGAAAGCTGTCTATAAATGACTCCAAAGTTTTCAGCAGGGCCAAGCTCACTTCAGATATTGACCGGAGTGAAGCACCAGAGAGAGTGCTAATGGCCATTCCACCCCGCCCACCTCATCTTCTCCAGCAGTCCCCACAGTTGGGCAGTTTAGAACCAGGGGTGAGGCACCAGAACCCAACCCTCCATCAAAGAAACACAGATACTTTTAGAATCACTTTCTCCCCCTTACATCACTAGTAAAGTACATTAAAAAAAAAAAATGGTCAAACGTATTTCACTGTGATGGATTCCTAAGAATTGAAATAGTTTTCCATGATGGATCCTTTCTCTATCACAGGTTTGAAAATATTACAAAGATTTCTAGAATAATAAAACCACAGGAAAAGAATACAACTGTCATAAATAATTACTCATCCTCATTTTCTGCCAGCCTTGTCAAACCAAGCTTGAAATGAAGCAAAAGATGGAAAATGTCACCTTAGCTCAGGCCAAGGCCCAGATCACTGCCACAAAGACAGGGCACGTGCCTGGCCACGGCTGATGGGCCACACTCCGGGCCAAACTCCAGGCCACACTCGGGGCCAGACTCTGGGCCAGGCCGCGCTGGTGACCAGGCCCCCCCGAGACTTACTGAGAGCAGCTTCCAGGTCATTGGACGAACCGGCTTAGGGATTCCAGACCAGCTCAACTTCCTTAATTCCTCTGTTGACAACAAAGAGACAAAGATAACAGGGTTTACAAACAGCGAACTCCCCACAGGGCTTTGACCTATTTCGTCAGTGTTCCTAGAGGGGAGGGGGGCTCCATAAATGAAACCAGAGTGAACCTAAGTGAGAAAGATTTCAGATACTGATTGTTCTCAATATACGAGAGACGCTGAGTGACCTCCACTCCGGCAGAGCTAAGTGTCTACATTTAAGCCACACAGAGTGCACGTTTACTAAATGCATGGCAAGTGTCCCCAGAGCCACCCTGGGACAGGTGGGGCACCACACACCTTCCTCCCTGGAGCAGTAGAGGCCTCCTCCACACGCCCCCTCCTTCCCTCCCTCAGTCCCACCAACACTTGTCCCCACTTCCGCCCCCCCCCCCGGTGCTCCCTTCTTTCCTGCATCCTATCTCCCTCTCACCATTCACTGCTTACGAATATGAGGTGCTTTGCTCAGGACTGCTTCTGACAGAGATCATGTCACAGAGATAAGCTTGTGTTCACAGAGCACTGCTCAAGGGGGTAGCCACGTTATTCAAGGTAGACTACTACAATCGCTGCTGCATCCACGAATACCCACGGGTGGGGAGGTCACAGAGGGCAGGGCCAGCCAGGGGCACAGGGGCCCGGAACCAGCGGGTGTGGAGCTGCCGAGGGCAGGAGAGGGCACGGCAGGGACTGAGGGGGCGGCCCCCGAGGTCCGTCGGACCTTCTGTGTCTCCCCGTGTCACAGCCACATGCCCCGAACAGTGAGAGAACACGTTTCAATTTGCAGGTGTATCAACACTCAGTCAATCCCACTGAAACTGAAGTAATTATTTCTTTAAGTTAGGAATCCACCATCAGGCTCTTCTCCTAACAGCTAGGAGCTCATGATTAATATTAGGAATAAAAGAAACGATTAAAGAGGCTCTGGTAATATAATCAACAAAATACAAAGTCCTGACATCTAATCTTTTTCCAATTACTACAGTCTAAGTAAAATAAGTACAGAATAATTGGCTGACGGTACCAGCAATAACTTGCACTTTACAGCAGAATCCCAGAAAATACCGAATCTTCCCCCGCACCCCGAGGATATTATGAAAAGCAGGAACCTAATATCCGAACACCAATAATGTAATGTTTACCGTCATGTTCCCAGGGCCTCTCCTCCTGCACAAGGCTGGTTTTCTGATGTTGGTTTATATGAAGAAAGCTGAGTGAAATCTCCGTTGTTAGCATTCTCCAAACCTGTCTCCTCATGGAAGAAACTCACAAACACGGTGCCTTGTGTACGTGTGGGACAGAGTTCTGAGTCTGCGTCACGTTAGCATTAACCAGTTCTTTCATGGGTACTATCTGCTCCTCACGGCAGCCCGAGTCCATCAGGGCTGTCCCCCCTGTGTCAATGAGGAGCAGGCTCAGCGAGGCCAGGTGACCCAGGAACTAAGTGACCTTTGCATCTCAGAATGTTTCCACTCTGTAACTCCCATTACTAAAAGGGCTTCCCGTAACACAGACAAATCTCATTCATGAATATGGACAAAAGGTCCAAAACAAAATCCTCGCAGATCAAACACAACCAGACGTTCAAAGACTGGTACACACGATTTACTCCAGGAATAAAAGAACTCCAAGTCAGGACATCTTCTGGTTTTTATCAAAGCATTCAACCGGGTTGATGGGAAAGTCATAGGACCATTCTGTTGGATGTCCAGTGTAGACTTTCACCCCGGGCCTGTTTGCCCCTCCACTTCTCTAGCAGAATCCCGGTTGTACAAAGTGACAACCCCCACCCCACCTCCCGGCAGCCCTGGTAATGAGGGGAGTCAGCCCGGGGGAAGTTGGAACTGATTTGCTGTGCGAAGCTGAGCCCCGCCCTCACCGCGGAGGGACTCCGCAATGAGCCTGGGACGCTGTCTGAGCCACAGAAGAGAGCAAATGAGCTGGGGGCTGCTGAGGAGAAAGCCCCTCCCTGCTCTTCAGAAGTCTTTTGGGGGCAACGATCTCTTGCTTCCTCTGCAGGCTGTTAGGGTCAGAGGGGAGGCTGGGGCTGCACCTAACCAGTACCCAACCAGCCTGAGGAGGAAGCCAACAAGACAGGCAGCAATGAGGGCTGAGTTCAGGGCAGACACAAGAATGTTCAAACATCAACAGCTTTTCCCCACCAGCAACAAAACAAATCGGAAATGTTATAGACATGAGCTTAACAAAAAACAGACACAACCATGGAAAGCAAACTGTGAAGGTTTTACTTAAAGACATGAAGACGCAGAGGAAAAAACCAAACTCACTGGCACTAAGGAGCACCTGCTCCGGTGAGGGCAGAGGGACCACACAAGGGAACGGCACACGCAGCCCTGTGCTCAGAGAACTCAGAGCAAATGCGGAATGACAACTGGACTCAGAAGAAGGGATAAGGAAGGGAAAGGCAACCGTGGGAAGGAAATTCTGCCTAGTTGGTAAGGTTTCCTTGAGGAAATGACAACTGAGAAAAAACCCACAGATGAGGAGAAATTACTGAAGGAAGAGGGGCTGGAAAGGGAATATTCTCAAGTCCAGGGAACACCTGACATAAAGCCCTGACCCGGTGTGAAGAGGGATCAGAGGGGCCAGTGGTCACAAGGAGACACTTGATGGGCTGCTTCTGAAGCTCAGTGTAGAAGGGACAGTGGCTCGGAGGGTCGCAGCGAAAAGAAGAGCCATGACCAAACATGGACCACGGGATCTAGTCCCAACATTACGATGCTGTCAACTGCCACTTAAAAATTCTTTGAGTTCAACGCAAACCCAATAAAACCCCAGTGGGATATACTGTTGTGTTCTGAAACCTGATAAGTTGAAACTAAGCTCATATGAAAGAGCAAATGCATAAGAACAGCCAGTAAAATTTCCAAAATGAATAGTGTGAGAGGACTTGCATTTCCAGATAAGCAAATGTGTAAGAGAGTGACAATACTTAAGACCCTGGGGTTCTAGGAACAAGACTAAAGCAAGGAGATCAATGTTACAGATGAATGGTTCACATCAAGCCTGTACTTACAATTACCACAGCATTTCAAATCAAGGGGCCATCAGCCAATGGTGTCCAAACAATATGGCATCTATTTTCAGAAAAGGAAATCAGACCATGTATCTTACCACAAAAACATATTTCCAAATGATTAAAGATCCAAAGACCTAAGTGGAGTGTGTGTATGTATGTGTGCAGGAAAGATAAAAAATACTACAAGAAAATACAGAGGAATATTTTGCTATTTTCAGATGGGAGAAAGGCCTTCCAGGCAAGTCACAAATCTGAGAACTATAAATAAGGTTAATGAACTATATAAAAGTTTGAAATTACTATGGTGAAAGCCACCATAATGTTAAAATAAAAAATGACACACTTGGGAAGCTTGGGTGGCTCAGTCAGTTAAGTGTCTGCCTTCAGCTCAGGTCACGATCTCAGGGTCTGGGTATCGAGTCCCTTATCAGGCTCCCTGCTCAGCGGGGAGTCTGCTTCTCCCTCTCCTTCTGCCCCCACCTTGTGCACTCACTCTCTCTCTCTCTCCCCCAAATAAATAAAATCTTTTTAAAATGACAGACTTGAAAAATACATGCAACATACAATAGAAAAAGATTAACATCACTAATATATAAAGAACACATACAAAAGGAAGAATGATCAATCTGTACAAAAATGGAAAATTCACAGAAGAGGAAATAGAAATGGCTAATAAATGTACAAAAATAGGCGCCTACTCTCAATAGTGATTAAAGAACTACACCATTAGAACAATAAATCTGTCATAAATTAGATAAAATTTTAAATGACTAATACCCAGTACTGATGAGACTTTGGATGAAAAGCCACTCTTACACTCTGGTCAGAGTGCATATGAACAGAACTTTTTCTTGGTCGAATTCTTTTTTTTTTCCTTTTTTTAAGTAGGCTCCATACCCAGCATGAAGCCCAATACAGGGCTCAAACTCATGACCATGAGATTAGGACCTAAGCTGAAACCAAGAGTTGGATGCTTAACCGACCGAGCCACCGAGGTGCCCCTTTGTTGGTCAAATTGTAAAGGTATATAACATTTGAGAGGCAACTTCACTTGAAGAAATCTGTTCCACTGGGACATTTGCAAGGCGTTACTCACAGGGTGTTCACTTAAGCCTTGTCATAACAAAAACTAGAATCAATCAGAGTATCCATTAATAGGGAAATGATTAAAACACCATTACATCCACACACTGGACTATAACACCACCATGGAAAAGAATGGATGCCTTTCTGGGTAAATACGCAATAAGTCTGTGAAGACAAACAAGAGAAAGCAGAGTGCAGATGCACTGAGTCTTTCTTTCTTTCTTTTTTTTTTTTTTTTTAGATTTTATTTATGAGAGAGATGGCAGGTGGCAGGTGCACAGGGGAGCAGAGCAGAGGGAGAGGGACAAGCAGACTCCATGCTGAGCACTGAGCCCAACACGGGGCTCAATCTCAGGACCCTGAGATCATGACCTGAGTGGAAATCAAGAATGGAATGCTCAACCAACCGAGCCACCCTGGCACTCCACACTGAGTATTTCTATAAGTGTACACTGGAACCTGGAAGCACAGCCAGCCTTGGGGGAGGGATTCAGAGAATGGTTCAAGGGCAGCGGAAGAAATACTTTTGATTGTGTACCCTACTGTGTTCCTACAGAGCTACAGAGTTCCTGTGACGTCTCCAACCTTACCTCCAACTTTTCAAAATCTACCCAACTTTCCCAGCCCAGCTCAACCTCTGCCAGATCTATGAAGCCTTCCTGACAACTCCGGGCCTCACCCAATTCCCTCTTCTGCGAGCACCAGGAACACTTAGGGCCAGCCCACCTGAAAGCCCACCTTCAGTGCCGTGTATGAGCATCGATCTCATCTTCCAGAAGTGGTTTATGAGTTCCTATGGGACAGATGCCAAGATTCTGCTTCTTTTGTGTTCTGAGGCAGAGACTTGCACAGCCTGGCAGTAAGTGCTGTAGAGA